TATGAACAAACATGGCTGAGCTATTATAGTAAGGATTGATTTGAGAATAAGAAATCCCTTGCTGATGTTACAGCCAACATCACTAAGAGTATGTTATCGGATTTAATTTAAACAGCAAGCTAAGATAATGAATGTATGTCCAACATTGCTGTGGGTGTTTGTAGTTGTATTGATGTGAATTCTCAGTAACAGGATGCTCTTTAATTTGCCTGTCATCCTGACATTGCAGAGTAATTCCATTACAGTACAATCCGTTGTTGTTTGTCTATTCCTGGAAATGGGAAACTGCAGTGGCAGACAGTTTGGATCAGTCTTAACTCAATATGGGACCAATTGCATTTAGACGATGATCTTGACAGCCTCATGCCGCAGAAATGACCCTCACAAGGAGAGCGAGGACTTTCAAGGTGGGACACTGAGATTCACGTAATCCTATAGGCTGTTAGAAGCAACGTCACCAAAAGATCATTCTAATTGTTTCCCTTCTATCAAGACTTCTTTCCACTGCTGCACATGTTATCTGGGCGATCAGTGGGAGTGCCGCTCTCCCACACCAGTAGAGCATTCCTCCCTGTAATTGGCTACGGTTACAGTGTTGATCTTTAAACTCAAGTCTCATCTCAGAGTCCTCTGTCTACACAACTAAAGAGGCTCGAAAAGCCTGTTCCCTTTAGGAGTGCAATATATGGCATCTGCTTCATAGCAATGAGATCCAAATTACACAGTAAAGAGCCCAATCAGCAACTAAGAGGCTGTAGGCTTTGTAGCTGATATCTTCAGTGTACAGTGTTCCGCATTATAGTCCTGAACCTCCCCACAGGGACTCCTCCTTGTTTAATTTCATACAGGAGAGAATTATTAACAAAGGACCTTGTTTCCTTGTGTTTCCCAGAACAACTGTTAAAGGATATCTTTGTCTTTTCCCATCTCTTATTCTCAAGCTCTCTGCTTTTTTCAGCAGGGCAGGTCAAGTATGTGCTGCCAGCTGCAGTCACTCTCTCAAAGATGTGTTCTTATTACAATGTCTTTGGTCTGAGGGTTTGATGTCATTGCCTTTCATCTCACACACACTCCTGTTCTGTGTCCAGAAAATATGTTCTTAAGCATGTGCCAAATAACCCTCGAGACTGTATTTTTGTGTTCTATCAATAACCCAACAGAACCCAATTTGATGGATTTAAATGCACAAACCAGGCACTTAAATGTGAGTAATGAATATAAACACCTGCCTGCTCTTGGGCGTTGGTTAGCCAGAAGAATATTCTCTTTTGAACTTAAGATGTAGCGTATTTCCTGCAAGCTATTGAATTTAAGCTTACTATAGTTATACTGAGCCAGTGGTCTGGTGAAAAGCTATATTTTGATATAGCGGATTAACTTAATCCCTGAGATATAGTCCCAATGACCTAGCCTTATAGCTTCTCTGCTTTGAAAGTATCTACAGTGCAGGCTGCAGTGTTAACAGACACATCTCTTTGCAATACATACAATTGTCAGTTTGCAATTCTGAGCTGTCCCAGTGCCAAAGTCTGAGAGACAGCTTTGACTTAGCTGAGGCTGTGATCGAATTAGAAATATATTTTTATAACAGCGAACTGCAGCAGCTCGTGCCCGTCTCCTTCCCCAAGGCGCTCTCTTCGCCCTGTCTCAGGTAGGCAGGAAGTGCAATTCAGCAGCTTCTGTCACCCTCTCTGATAGACAGAAGGCAAGTGAAGCACAATGATGTCAGACATTGGTACACTTCAGCGCCCTGTTAGTGTAAGGTTACCTGAGACGGGGATTTCTGGTGAGATGTTGTGCCGCTGTTTTGTACTATCAAGTTGTCATTGATAAGTTTAATTTTAACCGCTGTTGTATCAATTCATGTTTAATGAACTCTCAAGTTGTTTGGCTCAGGCAAAACGGGTGGTCAGGGCACTCTTCTTACCTGTCTCTCTAGGGTGGTCATTTGAGGAAATTCACCTGCAGTAGGACAGGGCATTATTGAGACTTTTGATATATCGTAATAAACCTGTTTTTAAGTTGTATAATTAGTCTGCTAACAATGGAAAGCCAAAGTGGATGTTCTGCTGATAATAATGAAATATGAATTCATTAACTAAGTAATAAGAATATGCAAGATGAATGCAAATGTTCCTGATTGGTTTAATTAATTATGAATATGTTGCACATGTGTGCGTGTCCTAGCCTTTAAGCAGCGACCGCACGCATTGGCTGGATGAAGGTCAGCAGCAAAGTGCTAACTCATCCAGATGGAGGCTGGGCCTGGGTAGTGGTGGACCTGGATCATTAACTTTAGTGCTGAAGAGAATTGGCTTTCAGTGTAGGTATGGCCACCCCCAAGACTCCACACCCCTCCAATCTCTCACTCTCTATCAGCCCCGTTCTCCCCCGCTCTCCCCCCCCCTCACTTTGTTGTCTCTCGTCCACTCTCCAAATATGAACAGGGTCATTTGAATGTCCTACGTTGCTGGGAAGTTGTGATGATGTCAGCGGCTCTGCGCTCATCTCTTGAAGGCTTTTTTTTGCTAAAAGCAGGCTTCATGAGATTGATGCCAGTTGAGGTTTTATTTTAATTACTGACCCTGACAGTGCAATTTATTATGTTTACTGATTCCCCTTTAGTTCTCAGCTTCCACAAACAGTAAAACGGTTCTGATAAGGAGACAGGAAAGGAAATGTTTTGGCTTTATTCTCCTGGGTGGTCTTTCGCCACAGAGCTGTTAGGTCCTGTATGGCCTGTGAGGAACACAGAGGGGCAAAGTCTATTTACAGCTGTCTGTTCTGTACTGTAGATTACTGACGAGGATGACTCACTGCTGATTCGCTCTATTGATGGGGATCTTCAATTTGCATCCCTAGGAACAAACCAGTTGACTCAGCTCCTCTGAGTCAGAGCGCTGACCGTTGTTTGGACCTTTGCCTCATCACAGGGAAAGAAAACCTTTTCCGGTTGTGATACAATACAATGATGTTGCTAAGGAAAGGTGTTCCCTTCCCACTCACTCAGCAAGCTTCATTTGAAGAAGAAAGGGGGGATAAAGCCACTTATCTTAAGGCTGCTTGGCTTTTGCTCAGTGCAACCGTCAGTTCAAAAGCTACTCAAATACTTTTGTTTCTGCTCTTTGGCTGCAGCTGCTCTGCATGCTCGCCCCCTCAAGCCCCTTTATACTCGTGACCCTGCTGACCTGATGTTCCCGCCATGGCCCCTTAGGCACAGCCGTTCACGGCAGCATGCTTAGAAAAAACCTGTCAGTCCAACCTGGATGTTCAGGAAGCTCACAATACAATTCTAACAATGAGACACTTTCCAGGTCATTCTAGTTCTCTGGCTGCTATTTTTCTATTGGACTCACTGTAGACATAGTGTTGTGTCAAAACCTAAAGCTAAATACCAAAGTTTAATACGTTTGGGTGACATGCCCCAGGGCACCTATGTTATGTCACAATATTAGTTTTATTACAGCCCTCACTCTCCTTTCGTGTGATCAGATTACAGATGGGAGTATATTCCAGCTTTCCCTAAAAGCCTCTTAAGCATACATCTGTATATTATTACACAGTCACGGTTCTCCACTTCCTGTTTACTGTCAGTGTTTCTGTATTTGTAGGGTGTCACACAGGCAGAATATGACTTGACTCCCAGATGTCCATTTTAAAATTGACTGTCAAGCCTTTAGTTTGACAAAGGCCTTCTTTCTTTTATTAAACTGGAATCCCAACACCTATTATTATAACTATGAAGGTACCCTGTATGAGTATTGATTTGAGAATCCTTTAAAATGTGTTTTAATACAGAATGTGTTCTGACCTGAATTCCACCTTTGGGATGCTTACTCTATGATGGCTCTATTTTCTGCTCAGTGTCAAAGTGTTTTTTCCTGCAGTAGCTTAAGGCTTTCCGCTTCAATGACATCTTCATTGAGTCCATTTCTTGATAGTCCTTGACCATTCTCTACTATCTGTCAGCCTAACACGAACATACACATCCAGCGTTGCCAGAGTCCTCAGTGGGCTGTCTGAGATGAGAGTATGAGAGTGCTTGGCAGGGGTATTTAAGTGTGTACTGTGTATATGTGTGTATATGCATGTGTGTTGAGAGTGAGGGATCTCTCACAGTGGTGACAGCACTAGTTAGCAGTTAGATGGCGTTGGGGGAAATGGAATTCTGGGAGCTGGCCTGTGATTTCTTTGTTGACGCAGAGGAACGGGGACTGGGAAACACACTTCTCTCTGTAGCCCCTTTCAGACATGCACCTCTTTTCTAATGAGAATTGAACATGTGACTCTTAGGTCTGAATAAGTATGAACATCCTATTAGGCTAAACCTGGTAACATTTCTGTGTAACTTGAAACTCAGCAAAAGTCTAATTGAAACGCTCATGGAATAACATAAAGACTGGAGCAGTACAATGTGAACAAACATGCAGAGAGAGAGTCTTGCACTGCCTGCCTCATAAAATGACTGTTATCTCAATCAATAAAAAATCTGGCCCACAGTCTCTATTCTTCTCCCATATACTCCTGCCAACTGTATGAATAGCCAGTTGAACTCTTTACATACAGCATGTGAGCTTAGAGAAATGAAGTGAGTGTCCCAGCTTGATGTCTTGCCATGTAATGCTTGTGTACTGTGAAATATTCTAAAAGAGGCAGCAGAATTCCCTCTTCAATAACATTTTATACAAAAACAAACAGTGAAAAAGCCTCTGTACTATCACTGTTGGGAATGGTGGCAAGGCTTCTTTTGCCCACAATGGTCACTAAATGCTTAAAGTAAATATGTGTTTTAAATGTAAATGTGCTGCCATGTTTGAATAAAGCAGTTCAAAGAATAAACTGGAAAATCACGAGGCATGAATGACAAAATGCTACAATTTAACAGATGGATAAAGACTGCAATGTTACTCATTCCCTGTCTGAAAAGTGATAGTATGATCAGATACACACTTCTTATTGTTATTTAGCTCTATCTAAGGCCTCTCTCTCTCTGTCCCCAGATGTTCCTGACAGTATACCTCAGTAACAATGACCAGCATTTTACTGAGGTGCCCGTTACCCCGGAGACACTGTGCCGGGACGTGGTGGAGTTGTGCAAGGAGCCGGGGGAGGCCGACTGCCACCTCGCTGAGATGTGGCGTGGATCTGGTGAGTGCCAGTTCACTGTTATCCTGATCCGTCTACACACCATGAACAACAGGAGATGTTCAGTAACAGGCTGAGGAATATGGATGTGGGCAGACACTTGTTTGTCCTCTTCCATTTAATGAGAGGGAAATTGCTTTTCTGAAGTAGACCATATATGGAGATTAGCTTTGTGGTCAACTGCGTGCTGATTTCTTGTTAAAGGGTTTTATCTCTTTTGGGTCTGCAATGCAAATGAAGCAGAGCCCATAATCCCCGTAACAAACACAAGCACCCAGACATCTCCCTCATCAGGTGGGAGGAAGGGGGGGTGAAGTTTTTTTTCTTCCCCCTTTCCCCCCCCCATCTGTGAGAGTCAGGAGGTATTCAGAATCAAAACTCAAGGAGCCAGGCTTCGTTGCTGTTACCATGGTGATGCTGCCATAAGAGTGAATAAAGTACCAATCATTGCGTTTGAGTACTTCCAAGTAGTCTGAAGAGATTGTCACATTTTGCAGCCATGGCTCTCCTTGAAAACACAGCAGTGATATTTGGATGAATTTAGCTGTAAAGCTTTAAATAAATTAAACATTACAATCATCGCTGATTTGTTTTGCAGGCACGCCATCACAATGGATCATTGACCTCTACTTGACTGTAATGTGTCAGTCCATTTGTGTAATGAAATGGTCTTAAGCAGGTTGAAGGAGATGTCCGAGGAATGGACGATGAGCTCTTTGGCTCAGTACCAGCCAGAATAATTGACCACACATCACAGTTGTTTTCCCCCAAGGTCATTACTCAGAAAGATCAACTAGATGCAGAAGGTGCTGGTGAAATTAAACAAAGTGTCAGTGTAGCCCAGCTGCGTTGAGCTAAAGTGTTTGAGCGAGATTATTCAAAGCAGACGTGTCACGTGCACCTACCTCACTATTGTCACATGTTTTCAACCATGCCAAATCAAACATAATGAAAATGTTTCAATATTGATTTTGTAGGCGGGACTTTTTCTGTCTGACGCGAATGCTGAAGTAATTATGTATTCCGTCTGCAGAGCGAGCTGTAGGTGACGGAGAGAGGATGCTGGATGTGCTCCAACGTTGGGGACAACACAGGGCAGAGGTGCGCTTCTTTCTGCGTCACAATCGAGCCCCTAGCAGGGAATCTGGTAAGTGTCTACCCCCACCACAAATACAAGAGATAATGAAGCAGGAGCACGGGTTTCTCAGTCCTCTCACACAGGGGTCATGGTTGGGAAGAGGGCAATCCCCAGAGAAAATACATTTGACACCAACGTAGTAAACTCCAGAGATGCCTGTAGCCTCTAAACGTACACACACCAACTCTGGTGTTAAGGGTCCATGAAAGGAAGTTACCTAAACAGCCTTTTTGTGGCTGAGAATAATCCTACAGAGGGTTTTATATTAGCAGGCCTCAAATCATTGAACAAGTTGGGGCCAGGGTTTCCAAGCTACAACGTCATAAGCCTGTTACTTTACAGTTTTCTTAGGAACAGAGAAAACGCTAGTATTTTGGTCGTGCGCTATCCTTTCAGCCCCCAGTTGCGTAACTAAGTCCTTTTACCCCTCACAGCTTGAGTCTGGCCCAGGGATTAGATGGCTGTTTTCCCTTCCTGTTATCTTAGTCCGCTCTTGTTTTCCCACACTGTTAGCTTAGCTCTGCTCACTATTTGCAACCAACTTCTGCATTTACCTTTTTCTGTTAAGACTTTTTTTTATTAAGGACTGGTGCATTTTGGTGTCCTGTTTCTGTGGTGCTGATATTATTCATGAAAGTATAGCAGTAGGGAGTTAAATGTTAACACTTCCTGATTCGGGGCAGGTTCTCACCAGGTCAGACAACAACAATTATTCTCTGCTGAATTGATACTCAACCTTGCTTATGGAGCGTTACCATGGTGTTATATTTACAGCAACCAGTATTTAACATGGGGTCATAACATGGGGTCATCTGAGACCATTATGCAAGCTAAAGGGCTTTGGTAATGAGATCTGGATTGTCTGACCCCCACCACTCTGAGCTGTTAAATACCAGTAGCATGTTTAGATATTAGCGCATATATGTACACAGATAAGCAAGTATACACACAATTGTGGAACCCAGTGCCAGGCGGTTATGTATTACGCTAAATCCTGAGATTACTGCAAGTCACAAAGAGCTCTGATCCCAGTTGTTTCCCAGGACAGCTTAGATCATTTATTCTGTTGTGCCGAGCCGTCTACTGATCCACACTCTTCTGCAGCGAGTCCAGAGAAAGTCGTACAGTGAGCGGCCAAAGAAAGCTCCAGTCGTTCTCACAGTTGTCTGCAAAGGCCATTCGTTTTCTTAGTTTTCCGTTTCATGGTTTGGACTTAGATGAAGATCCACAGTAGATTTTGATGTCTGAGGAAATGTTCCATCTTGTTGGTTTCTCAGGCGGCTCAAGAGGCTCAGAGCAGAAGAGGAATGGAGTGAAGGCCCCCCCAGACAGACGCATGGAGAACGGGGTGAGTTTCAATATGTTTTATTTTAAGAGAAGTTAAAATGCATTTAACAGCATGCTTACAATTAACAAACAGTTTCTTATTCAAGAAAAAAGCATAACTGTAAATCATTCAAACACATGTTTTAATGCATCTCATTGAACATATAGATACAGAATTATAGTCATATATTCCTTGGATCATGCATTTGTTTTGTAAGAAATGTTCATACACTACGAATAAGATGTTTCCATATATTTTCTTTATTCTTGTCACACGGTTCATAGACTTTAGTATTTCAAAAACATTCTATGACCTGATTTATTGTTCCTTTTTAAACTGAACAACAAAGCAGCTTGATGATTTGCTGAGGGGTTATCATTAATTCACTTCAAACCACCCTGAAGTGTATAAATGCAAATGAAACATTAATCAGTGCATCAAAACAAGGACTGTTTCTTGAATAATCAAGTTGAAGATGTCACTTGAAAATAAATGTTGTACAGCAAATCTTCAAATCCCTTTTTAATGCGTTCTCTTTTATCCCTTTTATGTATACCCTTCCCAGGTGGTGACACCGCGGATGGACATGACACTATCGGAGCTACAAGAGATGGCTTCCAGGCAGCAGCAACAAATAGATTCTCAACAACAGCTCCTTGCTTCCAAGGTGAATAGAGATGAAGTGCAAGATGAAAGGGGAGATGGAAGAGAGATGGGTGAATACTGGGGACAAGTGGTTCAAGATGTGGAGATGAAAGTAAAAGCAAGGGAGACAGAATAATACAGCAAGATGAAAGAGGAAGTTATTGAGACAAAGTGGAGAGATGGAACATAATACAAAGGTGCTAAAATAAGTGGAGTGCACTCGTGGAAATGAAGACGCTTAGATAAGAACACACATGATGGTTGCGATAGACGGGTATGATGAGTTGTGTATGGCTGCAGGTGTAGTGTTTATCATTTGAGAAGCCTGAGACTGCAGCCTGCCTGGGATTCTCACAATGCAGGACTTGTGGTATTTAAAAATCTCGCTTTCTTTCTTAGGACTGTTGTTTTTGGTGACAACAGGGGATTGATATGACCGAAAGAGACGTGATTACATTACATGTTAGATGCTTTTATCCAAAGCGACTTACATACTCAATACTGTGGACAATCCCCACAGGAGCAATTTTGGCCAGGGACACAACGACATGCTGACTGTGGTGGGGTTTGAACCTGTGACCCCCTGATCCCAACACCAAGGCCTCATCCACTGCGCCACACGCCTCGTGATATATTAAAACATTGTGTGAACATGTTTCCTTGCTTATTTAGACATATTGATCTTTTTTTTAAATGAATATGCTTTAATATGGCCCCGCAGGCTGAAACCTGTCTGTAGCATTCTGATCGAAGCAACTGTTGCCTGAGGGTGATATAGGAAGCCAAGGAATGCTGCTTCAAGCAGTCATGAACACTTGCACAATCCGGCAAACAAACATTACAATCAGCACACCTCACCTGGTATAGTTCCAGGTAGAGACAGTGTTCTGTTCATCTTAGAACCGGTTTGAGGGTCAGGTGCATAGCACACCGTTTCATTGTTTAAGACTGAAGATTTAACTCAGTTTCACTTTACATAAAGATTTCTCGGCTCTTGTAGCTATTTTCACTTGACAAAAAGCAATGGGATCTTGTCTCTGGATTTTGGAATATTGCAGAAAATAAGATCTGTGCTAAACCAAACTTTTTATTTTACTCAACACATTTGTATCAGCAGGATCATTTCCACATATTAACACCACTTCATGATTTTGATCTCAAGTGATCTCAAGCTAAAGTAAGGCTATAAACTCACTGCATATTGCTCGCTTGGTGCTTATCACCACCTCGAAGCTAAAGCCAGACTACTGTTTTTAGCAATTGCCCTTTTGTTAGACACAGAAGCTTTGGACATTCACTAGTGGGGTTCTTTATGAAGTATTTTATATCTGAAAACTAAATGTAAAATATGTTCTGCTTGTGTTAGACACAGAACTTACTGTATTTCATGCATCTAATCAAACAAACTTTAAAAAAAAACAAAAAACGGAAGTGTTAAATGCTAACTAATTCCAGTGTTTTGAGACTCATTACTGTTGCACTCTATTTAGGCTGGCATGTTGATATAAAATGCATTCCTAACAGCCTGCAGGAGCAGTAAGAGAGGAAGGTGTATTCTTACAACAGCCAATTTACTAGTGGCCCATAACATCTGTACCTCAATGACTGAGGACATTTTGACAGCACCTGTTGAGGAACGAAACTCAGCCATTGATTACTCATTAATGATAGTTAACAGGGTTGTGTCTGTTAAATAATGTTCCTGACCGTTTCTCCCTTTCTCCTCTTGTCTCTTCCTTCAGGAGCAGCGGCTGCGCTACTTAAAGCAGCAGGAGCAGCGTCAGCAGCAGCAGGCGTCTGAGCAGGAGAAGCTGCAGCGCCTTCGAGAGAACATCGAGAACCAGGAGACTCGGCTCAAGAAGGTCCGGGCCCTCAAGGGCCAGGTGGAGCAGAAGCGCCTCAGCAATGGAAAACTGGGTAAGCTCCTCAGAAACTTAAAGGATTTTATAAATAAATGCCTGCTCAGAATATTATATGACAGGAAGCGTGGAATATTTGATTTGAATAGATTATTTCATGCTGTGTCCCTGAATTCTCTCATCTCAATTCCACTTCCTTTCCAGTGGAGGAGATCGACCAGATGAACAACCTGTTTCAGCAGAAGCAGAGAGAACTAGTGATGGCTGCTACCAAGGTGGAGGATCTCAGCCTACAGCTCGAGTTGCTTAAAAATGGAAAAATGGACAACTTCAATGACAACCAGAGCTCTGTGGCTGAACTCGACCGTCTGTACAAGGAGCTACAGGTGTGCAGAAACAACAGTTACTAAATGACATAAATCACACGTAGCTCCGAACACAGTATTTATTTTAATGAGCACAAACATTGAACCATCTCTTCCTTTTGTCACCATGTTTTGTCCTTCTTCAGCTGAGGAACAAGCTGAACCAGGATCAGAACTCCAAGTTGCAGCAGCAGCGAGACGGCCTGAACAAGCGCAACATGGAGGTGGCTGCCATGGACAAACGCATCATTGAGCTCCGAGATCGGCTGTGGAAGAAGAAGGCAGCGCTGCAGCAGAAAGAGAACTTGCCTGTAAGTATCACATCAACAACATAAATACACATATGTGACCTGATGCAGAACCCCCTGATGTGTCTTTCTGGATAAGGTGTTGACATTTGTTAATGTGTTTTTCTTGCAATTTCCCCAAGCCACAATATTCCAAATAAGTTATGGAAAAGATGTTGATCAGAGCTCCCCCTAGTGGCCTCATGTTAAAGGCTGTTTGTATGTCTCTTTCCCTCCGGAAGCCTCAGATACCCTGGCATTCAGAGCCCACCCATTCCAACGTAAGGCTCCTTAACTTAAAATCTTCTGTGTGGGAAAACCTAGTGATGCCCTCACTCGAAGGAGATCACTCCTATCCGTCTTTTTCCACTCTTTGATCTCTTTGTCTAAGATAGCTGGTGTGGATTGATTATCATTTTGATTAGAGTCGCATCTGAGTTCACACTCCCGCTGTTTTCAGTTCCATTTGGCAGAAACAACTTCTGCAGAGAGGAGAGGAGTAATAAGCGCATGCTGACACATCAGAAAGGCAGGAATGTCAGGGGAGATGCTATCTTCTATGACTACACAGAAACAGGAAAAGACGAATAATTAGTTTACTGAAGGCAAACAAACTTCTTACCAAGAACGTTTGCTTTTAAAAACATATTGCATAATACAAACTGAATGTAACAGATACTAGAAAGGCTGAACAACCTAGTCTCTTTACTAGATCTTATTGTCGTTATAAGCGTTGGCTCTGAGCTCGCTGCCTGGTGTCTCCCTGCTCCACTCTCCCCTTTACAGGAGTTGTTTTGAACACATGTTGCCATGGGACTGTAAAGAAGAGTCAACAGACTGTTTGGGAAGGAATATTAACACGTTCACTGCCTGAGATTGAATGCTTGTGAAGGGATAGCAGAAGGGTGGCAAAAACGAAACAACATCATTCTGATCGAGTGATGAATGATTTTATGTTTTTACCAGTTTAAAAACACAAGTCATTTGACTTTGTTTCTTTCTTTATGTCTACTGATCAGGTGGACTTCCTCTCAGACCATATGCAGGTGTTTCATTGGCCGTCACCATTAACTTTCTGTCTTTCAACCAAATTAACATTCAACCAATTAACCTCAAATTTCGTATTGCAATATATTATGCTGATTCCTAACTTTGTAATGCAAATCAAAAAGCTCCCCTATGAAATGATATTTCCCCTGTGTTGTAGATACTGTACAAAAACATTGCCTCTTGAGTTTGCAGCATGCGATGTTTACTAATGCAGTGTACAAGATCTATGAGTTGGAACATAAATAATACATGTTATAATGTAAATGTAACATTTCCTCTCGCAGCTCTGCCTGGAAGATTTCTAGATTAAGTAACAACGTGCCACCTTATCCGACTTTAGGGAAGCCCAACTTGTCTTTTAATGTTCCCTTTACAAATCCAATAAAGTAGGAACCGAATAGAGCAATATGTGTGCGTGTGTGTTTGTGTGTGCTTGCCTGCGTGTGAGTGTGTGTTAGAGATGAAGGCTTGAAAGGGCCCAGTGAGGAGGTGATTTACCCACACCCTGCCTGGAATCATAATGAGTGGGCCTTTTTCACACTGACACAAAGACCCTCCATCCAAGCTGCCTCTCTCCTCCAACCAAACAGCAAGAGTCTGTCTGACATCACCCAAAAACCCTGTTTAACCATTCTGACTGAAGAGAGGTAGCCTGAGAGCTGCCAGCCGAGAGACACCGTATTATGATGCGTAGTACAGGGGACTAACAAAAGGCTAATATCAGATTGAAGAAAGGGATACTTTGGTATTTTGAACTGCTGTTTTATGTTTGTGCTTTTGTTTTTTCAAGAATGGCTACCCTGGTAAAGAGAGGGCTTCAAAAGACACTCATCTTCAGGTAACTAAACTAGCATTGAAGCTGATGCTAAAGTATGTGTCCCTTATTTCTTTCTGATCATCTTGTTTCCAAAGGGACAGCTTGTCATCATGAATTCAGGAGGATATCTTTTTGTCCAGGGGATGAGCTGGTTTTAAAAACACGGTTCAAGTACTTTACCGAGTCTGAAGGGACATTTGGAGTCTGTTTGTTTTGGTTTGGAAATCACAAGTGCATTTCATTTATTTTACAAGATGTGGTATTCATGACAAACTTACCCTCTTTTAACTTCAAGCGTTCTCTGATTCAAGCCTGGAATTAATCGACAGGATTTCAAAAAAGGTCGTGCTGTATATTTGATATCACCTGTCCAAGATGGAGATCCCACAACAATCCAAGCTGCTTTCAAATCACTGCACAATGCTCCATTGCAACTTGTAGGACTCAAATCATGGGTTTCAATATTTGATAAATCTGTGTAAGCTAAATCTTTTATAAATCAGCCAGTGTAATGCATGTGTTTTCTTGAAGCATGAAACCATGGCCATCGTTATAAGAAGGTCTCATTTTCCACTTATATACACACCTTCATAAACTCTCACAAGTGTCTTACACTAATGCTAGTTCTTCTAGCATCAGCTACGGGTTGGAAACATTATGACTGCCTTACAAATCTTTGAACCCTTCCATACTAGCCAGAAAAAAAACCTATTTGATGAACAACTTGGCCCCGGTCTGGCACCACCTTTAGGCCACAGTTTTCTCAGCATTTGTATCCATTATTATATTATACAACGCCGTTTTTTTTCTAACTTATTAACCATTAGAGCCTAAGAGGGCTTATATGGACTTGTAGTGTTTTTGATTAGTGCCTAAATGTGGAAATGTATTAAAATATAACATTTTAGCATGATTTCTGTGATACTCATCTCAATGTCAACAATGTTTTATACATTCATAAGTTGTGATTACTATTTTTGTCATCCACGTTTATGTGTCTGAATAGTGTTTCTCTCTTATGGCAATATTTGTGTACCTCATTCCTGAGTGAGCAATGGGAAATTCAGAGCACAGGAAACTATTGCACATTAATTGAGTTAATAGCAAACATGGAAATTCCTTTTGGAGCATAACAGTTTGATGTAATTAAATGTCCTTTTCTTGAGTAGATTGTCTATAGTGAATATGCCTGCAAAATGTATCTTCCAGTTCTCCTAAACTTCCATTACTAGCTCAGGACTGAGGCACAAATACAATGCCATACTCTCTCTCCTGCACACGTAACACACACATTTGAAACATTCCCTCAGACCTTTGCTTCTCTAACAGACTCTCTTCTCTCCCACCTCTTCTCTGCACAGGTGCCCACAGATGGCCCAGCCGGACAGCAGTCAGGTCCGTCTCGTGTGGCGGCGGTCGGCCCGTACATCCAGTCGTCCACCATGCCCCGCGGCCCAGTGAGGCACGAGCTGCTCGTAAAACCAGCCTACCCAGACGGCACGGCAACCCTCCCTGCCCACGACCCGCAGAGCAAGGCCGGCCCAGGTGAGCAGCCGGAGACCACACAGCGTCTGCAGCCTTTTACTTCTAAAACCATTCCTTTTCATTTCTGTAACATGGCTCGAATCAAGACTCGGGGGCGGGACATCAATAGTAAAAATGTATTCAGATAATTGAGGCAATTGCTGAGTTCTGCAACAGCTCACTTGTAAAATAAAAGCTTACATTTTCAGATCAAAGAACGGTTAGGATCCCAAAAGTGTTTTCAACTACTATTCTAGGCGTTCCTTTGTGATTGTACTCCCACTAACTGTTTTACTGAAATGTGACAACACCGTCCTGCTTTCAGTAGAAGCAGTGGATTCTGGGACACCTGCTGGTTGCGATGTCGATCTGAGCTCAGAAGGTAGCTAGTTACCTCCTGGATGGTGTGTTGTGACCGAGTTTTGCTGAGCCTGAACTTTGAACTCTTTATCCTCTTTTACATTTTCTGAAGAACTTGTGATATGCTTTGCAGTGAGTGAGCCAGTTATTGAACCATTGTTCCTATTGCCACCATGTGTGTCTCTTCTGCTTTTATCCTTTTTTAAAGTAAACTTTTAGAGCCAGTACAGACTAAGCTGCTGCACTCTCTTTTCACAGACTGCAGTAGCATGTGTGCGGTGTGATGGAGTGGAATGAAGTCTGACCAAAGCAATGAGAGACCAGAGCAACATTTCCCATTTAGAAATGTTCTTTGTTCTTTCTCAGTAATTATTTCTCAGAGGCTCTGTCTCTAGACTCGATCTCTAAGCCCTGAACCAATCCCCCAGTGGATAGTGGGCCAGCTTTATGTTATTAAAAATGAATGATCATACACAGAAATTAGTCATTACAAAACAACAGCACCAGGGACCACCTCTTTCCTCATTCAGTCTTGCAAATCTTTATCAGCCCATGTTTTCCTATTTAAAGCAATTCCACATACAGGAAGTGAAAGTATCAGTTTTTCCTCCAGTCTGTCATGATGTTGCACGCAATTATTTCTGCATGCTGAGTTGATTTGCAGTATGAAAAGAGGAGAGAGAGGGATGGGCGGGGAGGCAGAGGAATCTGCTCTTGGTATAAACCCATTCCCGGTTCTTCTAGCAGGGACGTTGTGCATAGTTTCAGGCCGGCTCCTGGGGGTTGTTCTGATCTCTGCTTGGCCCCTCAGGGGGGCCCCTAACTGGGCTGTGCCAACAGCATGACTCGAGCAAAGGGAGATTTGGAGCTCTAAGGCTACTTTTGTTTTTCTTTTCTTTCGAATGCATCTTCCTCAGAAGCCATGTTCTTGCTTAAGCCTCTGAAAGAGCTGCGGGCTAAGAGAAAAGGTACACACTCGTGTTTGTGTGTGTGTGGCGCGTGTATTTCTCTCCACGGCTTTGTGTGGTTCTGTTTATTTTAAGGGGAGATTCCTACTGAAAAAGCTGAGATGTATTCTCATAATTGGCTAGCTACATTATTACCTAGTCCTTTCTGCTTGTTTTGCCGTTGTTTGTTGAAGCGTGTTTTTGTTTGTTCTCCTCAGTTATTTTCCACCCCTCTAAATGGGTCAGTCGGAAACAAATGCATAACCTTCAGTTGAACTGACAAGCTGTGTGTGTCCTGACCATCCAAATCTGATCTTGTTGGCAAAATATGTTTTGTGTTTGTTGTCTTTCTACGACACCACTAAACTATGGGCACTGCAAAGGATAATCATTATGATTATGAAGAATTGACTGTCTTTGATGTGATGCTAATGTTGCTAGTTGCGAGTGCTCCATGCTTTTGTGGCTCATTTGACTGTTGATGTGTGCGGACATGCATGGCTACTGGCTGAGTCTTAGTCAGTCAACCAAAACAACAAATGATGAGTAACGATGGAGGCATAGTGCTTTTTTCAAATGACTGTTTCATGACTGTTTGCTCTTTGTGACTCTGCATACAACGCAGCTTTGTGCTTTTGTGGGACAATTATGACTGCAGAAGGTTACCACTTATCTTTATTAAAAAAAGTATAGTATTTTTTGGTACGTGATGACATTAACACATTCTCCGCCTGTCCCTTTTTCTTTCCCTCCTCTCCTGCTGGTCCCACAGGCCTTCAGCCATCCAAGCTGGCAGACTGGGGCTCTTCAGGTCCAGAATCCAACACCAACGGTCATGGTTCATCTTCAACATTGCCCCGAATGACCTCCCACTCCAACACAGAACAAGGTTAGAGCAATACACACGTGCAAACACCACACACACATACAACTCCTGTGCACTGTAATCTTTCCTGGAACTGTGAAAACAGTAATGAAGGCAGAACAAAAGCTTTGAAAGGGGCTTTTGTTCTGTCTTTCTATAGAATCACGCTTGCTCTTAACATGCAGTGAAACTGATTACTGCCCCTATATGTTGTGTGTGAATAGATGAGACTGAAACGAGGAGGGACAAGAAGGTGCGTCCACTCTCCATGTTTGAGTCAACGGACGTTCCCGCCACCTCCCTCCGCAAAAACCAGAGCAGTGACGACCTGGTCAGGGACGCAAAGGTGAGAATGAATGAAAACAAACTCCTTAAATACTAAGTAAAGATCCAAGAAAATACTTGTTTAGCAGTTAAATCCATGCATCTAATTCTCTCTCTGTCCTCTCATGTCCACAGTCGGCCCCCAAAGGTCCAGTCAAGGTGCCTCCTCCTGTTCCCACCAAACCAAAAGGCCCTGGTGTCGTTCCCTATGGGAAACCAGGTCTCAACACAGGAACCTTCCCCAAAGCCAAGCCCCACAGCCAGCAGCCCCAGCCCCCCCAGGGCCGCAGCCCTCTCCCATCCTCACAGAGCCAGACACTCCCCCTCCCCTCCAAGCAGGACGCTCCACCTGCAGCCACCGTGCGGCCCTTCACCCCGGAGCTGCCCTCCTCCAAGCCTCAGACTTTAGCGGCCAGCTCCATTTACTCCATGTACACGCAGCAGGCCGGCTCAGCCAAGCCCTTCCACCCGCCGAGTGGAGTGCAGAACGCTCTCAACAGGAATCAGAGCCGCTCCAATGGATTTGTCAGTGGTAAGAATACCCAGATGTAACTTTTTGAGTTTAGTCAAACACACTGTTGTTCAGGTGACACATTCATATGGTCTTTCTGCTGTAAAACACGCAATCAAAGAGTGTATGTATGAACACATGTCAATCTTCAGGTTTATGTATCAATCTCAGAGTATCTCTTTAAGAAGATTGAGCATTCAATCTTAAGACTAATACTGGACTAAAAATCTAGGCATGACTTAAAGGTCACCTATTATTCAAAATCCACTTTTATACACAAACATGTGTCCCCTCTGCGTTAAGAGATTCTGAAAGTTTCAGGAAAAAAGATTTGCTCTCTTTTTGTCCTGATCCATTTCTATAAAAACCTGTCTGAAAATGAGCTGATCAGATTTTGGCCACTTTATGATGTCATAATGTTTTTTTGGGCTGTGTAACCATTAGGCAATCACCAACCAACGCTAAACACCCCCCCCCACCTTGTATCACGCTGATATCTCCTCTTAGAGCACCCATTGTGTTCTTGTTAACCAAATATCTCTCAGAAGGGCGTTGGGAAGTGGCTCCTATTTTTCAGCTAAAGTAACAGGACACTTCTTGTAACACAGCTGGGGACATGAGGGGATTAGTGGGATCTCGCTCCACAATACATGATCTGTTTGGTATTCGAGGTAAACAGAGACATGTTTTGATAATATCTGAGAGCTGATAATATATTGATTGAAGAAAACGAGGTATACTAGGGGAACCTTTAAATACTAAATTCAGGAGTTCTAGAACAAGCGTTTATAGAGAAAATAATATTTTGTTCACTTGAAGATATAATTTCACTGTTAAAGTAGTTCTGCCCTGCTGGCTGTTTTTTAGCATATTCAACAGGATATATTCACACACCGTGACAGAGGATGAGCTAGAAGCGTCTCACCATCTGTTACCATCTTCCCTTTAGCAAACGCATAAACAGGTCAACCGTAACCTGCTGCTTTTGACTGGAGTTGTGGAATTGAAATGGAACCATTTTTTTCTCCTCCCTGAGGTCAGTTCGGAGGATTGAGGCAATTCTAGCTCTATAAATGCTAAAGACAAGATGGGAAACAAAAAGAAGATAAGATTTTAACATACTATAAGAGAGAGATGCAAGGGAAGTGTTAAACGGAAAAAAGTCCCAATTTTAAAGTCTTAAATAGGACCATAGAAATTTTCAAAAAATATTTACTGATGCATATCACATATAGGGTACATGATTAATTAAGTATTTCCATTCAAACGTATTTAGACCGAACAAGGTATTTTATGTATATAAAAAAAAAAACAATCATACTCTGATTTGTTTGTTTCTGATTTTGCTTTACGTCTCAAATGACCAGGCCAGTATCTTCAACTGCATTTCATAAGTTGATTTCCCACTCTGGTGTAACAGTTTTTTGAACCAAAATGTTCCCTTAAGCAATCATTCTAGTATCTTACAAATCACAAACTTTTGAGCAATGTTCTGTATTTGATGACTGTATCTGTTATAGTTTTTCTTACAAAAGCCATTGAGATATTTAATAGCGTATATGTTTGTGATATAAAAATCCTGTTATATAACATTATCCGGTTTAATTTAGTGGTTCGTATGCTGATACCTGCTGTGGATGTAATGCTCTCCATTGTTGATGTAGCTGGGCAGGACACAAGGGTCGTTATTAGTGTGTATCTGTGTAACACTTGTTCCTATCCTTTGTTCATTAGTGTACGGTGGAAACCAGGCTGATCCCCAGTGGAGGGCCTGCCTACGGTATCCAGAGAACCCTTACAGTGCGACCGCCGCTCACCTGCCTGATTGAATCTGAGGTCGACCACAACGGAGCCTACAAGACGTGGGTCCCAGTCCATCTGAGGTCCCCCCAACCGAAAACGGAGCGCACGCCCGCCCTTCAGCCCACCAGCTTGCTTTTCCCTCATTCGAACCGCCGGCCCAGAACGATTTGGCGACCGCTGGAAGCCCTGAGGAAGAAGCTCTAACACGGCCCCCAGGCCGCTTGAAGAAAAACGCCAGCTCCATCACTGAACCCGGGGTCGCTGCGGCCCAAATTCAGAAGAAGACGCTTCCTCTTTACCAGAAGCCACCCTGAAAAGCTATGGAGACTATTACGCACACCGACCACTCCCACCTACGTGATGGAAGCAGAGAAGGTGCCGGAGGGATCTGCGGGGCGAAATGTTTCTCTGGTGGAGCGGAACCCCACATCGACAGAGAGGACTCCGGATGGGGGGACGCTCCCGCTTTCGACAATGCATACAGGCTAATGTCCCCGTTGCCGAGGGACGCCCCAGAAGCTCACCAAAACCACGTGTCAGCCTTCCAATGAGAGACCGAGGGCGCTGTGTTGGTGAGCTGCTGGGGGTTCCTCGGCGCGGGACATTAGACTGTTTAGTGATGTGGACGGGAGCTGTCCCGCCATCCGGAGTCCGCGTGGCGATTTCGCACCCCAGAGAAACAATGCGCGCGCGCAAAGATCCTCCGACTGCCTGCCGCGCGTTTATGGCGAGTGGGTTGAAGTGATGCGTCCATGAGCGTCAGTCGGTGCTCTGTAGAGAAGTTCTGAATGTGTGGCCCGCAGACCCTTTCGAGATGTGTGATGTGCGGTTTTTTCTTCAGCAGACCTGGCGTTGTAGAGGCTTTTCCTCAGGGCTCCATGCGCCAGTCGTGGTGCTGGTTCCTGTCAGGTTCGAAAATGAAGGAGCAGCTTGGTTTGGGGCTGAGGGGCCGAGGGGGTGCGGCTCCGTTTTCGGAGTTGTTGGGGGACCTTCAGATGGACTGGGACCCACGTTAGGCTCCGTTGTTGGGTCGGCGACCTCAGGATCAAAGGCAGTTGCAGCGGCAGAGTCCAAGTAAGGGTTCTCTGGATAGTAGGAGGCCTCCACTGGGGATCACTGGGTTTTACCCAGTGACACTATGACACAAAGATGTAGGAAACAAGTGTTTACACAGATACACACTAATAACTGAGCGCCCTTTGTTCTGCCGCCCGAAGCAGTTGGTAATTCAAATGTGGTTAGATTACAGATGCCTGAGGTCAGGCACTACGCGGGTAAGCTTGAACAACTGCAGTCGATAATGTTTTTTTAAAAAAAAGCAGACTGGATCGAAATTATTTCTTTACCTCTACCCCGGGATTGACATGCTTATTGTCTCAGCATGGCTGGTAGAAAAACCTGCTGCTGTATCAGTCTCTAAATCACGGCTGGCTCAAAGTTCGTAGTTTAAAGTATACAATGATTGCTTAACGGCGGACATTTTGGTCGAAAAATGTCACACCAGATGGGAATTCCAATTGAATGGAATGCCAGTTGAAATACTGGCCTGGTCCTCTTTGAGAGCGTAAAGCAAAATGAGAAGGACAAAAGTCAGGGCTATATTGTTTGTTTCTGTTTATATTAATTACAAATACTTGTTGCGGGGGAAACAAAAGTCTAAATAAACTTACTGGAATGATAATACAATATAAAAGAGAGGTATAATGTTACCTTAGTAGTGTATATGCAATACAAAAGATAATAATTCTCTAGACCCACCTCCCTTTCTCCCATGCCACCATATTCTCACAGCCGTCCCTCTAAAACTTCGAGCAACTTATTCCATTATAATAAACACTCTCCACTTAGCAATCTCTCGTGACTGATAACTCAGCTCACGATAAGAGAAATATATATCTTGTTTTTTGTTTCCCATTTAACTGTCTTAGCATTTACTTAGAGCTAGCAATATGATCATCCATACGGAGAACTGACTAGCGAGCGAGGAAGGAGAAAAATGAGGAGAAATTCCATATTTCATTCCCACAAACTCCAGTCAAAAAGCAGGCAAGGTAAACGCGTTGCAAGATTAATATGCCGCTTTAGTAAAAAAGGAGAACAGCCATAAAACAGAAATGGATAGTAGGAACGCATCTGCTCATCCTCATAGAGATAAAACGGTGTGTGAAGCCGTTAGTAATTCCTGTTTGAAATATGCTAAACAGAAACAGCAGCGCAGGGCAGAACTCACGCCTTAACACGTGAATTATATCTTCAAGTGGACAAAATATCGTATTGTTTATAAACGCTTGTCTAACTTTCCGAATTTAGGATTTAAAGGTCCCCCTGAGTATACTGTTTTCACTCAATATCTGATTATAGCTTCTCAGATAGTATACAGACCGCATGTCTCTGTCTTAGCCCGCTCGAAATAGCCAGACACGATCATGTCATTCCTGGTAGCCACATGCCCATGCAAGCCCCTCGGTCCAGCCGGCCTGTTGTCAAAGAGCTGTCTGTTGTACTTTACGATGAAGAATAAGTTAGCCACTCGCCCCACGGCGCCCTCTGAGAGATATTTGGTTACAAAGAACACAGATGGTGCCTCTGTAAGAGGAAGATGGTCAGGTGCGTGATAGGTGGGGGCGGTGTGCATTGGTGTGGCTCTCGCTCTCGCGGCTTAATGGTTGTAACACAGCCAAGAAAAAAGCATTATCCCCGCTGTTCGGCGGCTTGTTAAGACCGATCGTGAAGTGGGCCGAGGAAGTCGGGATCAGCCTCCTTTTCAACACGGTTTTTATAGAAATGGATGCAGACAAAAGAGAACGCCAAATCTTTTTTTCCTGAAACGTTTCAGAATCTCTTTAACGCAGAGGGGACACGAATGTTTGTGTATAAAAGTTGGATTGGAATAATAGTGACCTGTTAAGTCATGCCTGGATTTCCGTTACTCCAGTATTAGTCTTAAGATTGAATGCTCGAATCTTCTTAAGTGATCCGAGGTGATACTCTGAGATTACCGTCAGTAAACCTAGATTGACATGTGTTCGCAGTATCAGTTACACTCTGTTGATTGCGGTTGTGGTTTTACGAGCAGAAAGTACCAGGGCTTAGAATGCTGCTCACCGAACAGAACGCAGTGTGTTGACTAAACTGTCATAAG